GGCGTGGCTATAAAAGGGCCACAGAAGAGATACTCCTGGTGACAAATGTTGTTTTCTTATCAGTTATGTGTTCGTTTTGATGGTGTACTACAGTTTTGCAAAATATTACCACTGAGAGAAACTGGATGAAGGGAGTGGCAGATCTCTGTTCATTATTTCTGAAACTGCATGTGAATGTATAATGATCTCAAAATCAAAGCGTTTAGTGGAAAAATAAGGAATGACTGCAGTAAAGAGATGGAGTTAAAGAAGCATAAATGCACTAAACGGCATCCATGATCAAGAGAATGAGTAAGGCCGGGCGCGGTGGCTCACGCCTGTAATCGCAGCACTCTGGGAGGCCAAGGCGGGCGGATCACAAGGTCAGGAAATCGAGACCATCCTGACTCACACGGTGAAATCCCGTCTCTACTGAAAATACAAAAAATTAGCCGGGCGAGGTGGCGGGCGCCTGTAATCTCAGCTACTCGGGAGGCTGAGGCAGGAGAATGGCGTGAACCCGGGAGGCGGAGCTTGCAGTGAGCCAAGATTGTGCCACTGCACTCCAGCCAGGGGGACAGAGCGAGACTCCGTCTCAAAAAAAAAAAAAAAAAAAGAGAGAATGAGTGAAAAAAAGACAAAAATGGAGGGGAAAAAAGAACCAAACTGAGAAAGAGAGAGAGGGAGAGGAAGAGAAAGGAAATAAAATGTGACGGAGCATGAGTATTTAGGAGGAGTCAGGGGACATTGAAAGAGACGCAGGAGAGGTGGTCGGGGCTGGGGGCAGCCGCAGGCCCAGGCCTCCCTCCCTACTGCCCTGTGTCTAGCCTTGGCTCTCTCCTCTCCAAACCACTCCCTGGGCCCCTTCTACCCTTTCACCAGCAAACCTGTTTCTCAAGCCCCCTTAGAAGCCTTCCCTGCTCCCCCAGGGCAGCCCGCCTTCACCCCTGCGGCTCCTGTGCCTCTCCGTAAGGGCACGCAGCACCAATGCTGGAGTCTCTCCGGGCAGCTCTGCCGCCCCCAGGCAGTGGTCTGAGAGCTCCTCGGGCGGGCGGCAGGCCTGGTGTGTAAGATCCGCGCCCCTCCCCCGTCTAACTCAGGTGCCTGCACAAGGTCTGGCCTGTAATAGGAGCTCCCCACTCATGTTTTGAGGGAGTTCATCTGGAGAAGGACACTTCACAAAGCAGCCTGACTTGGCAGGGGAAGCTTTCACACTGTGACATCCAGTGGGCCGGTTCCTGGGGCCTGGCACCCATGGCTTCTGCTGGCACTGCTGGACAATCCCCCTTGCTGGGGCAGAAGCAGCACCTCCCACTGCCCCGGGCTCTAGGCACCAAGTCCTCAGCAGTGCCCTCCTCCCTGGGGTTGGGGGAGTGGGGGGCACACTCTAAGGGGGAGATACAGGTTTGGTTCCAGGAAGCATCTGAGGTCCTGTTGGTTCTTGCACTGCGCCCCACTCCCATTTTCCTTTCTGAGCAGCAGGAAATAACGTAAGATGATAGCATTGGACCTCCCTGATTGTAAAGTGGGGTGCCTGAAACCTGAGAGAAGGTATAGTGTGGGCAGCACACCCAGTCCCGGACCACCAAGTCAGAGGGGAGGAGAATAAGACTCTGAGTTTGCTCTCTCCTTCCCTCCCCAACCCCTCCATTTCTCCCCAACCCTCACCCTTTCCTGCCCCCAAACTCTCTGGCCATCCTATTGATTGATCCCTGGTGACCAGGAAGTGCCATTGCCACCTGCCAGCTGGTCAGATGATCCATGACCTTTGCCCTCAGCTTGCTCTGGTCTGGAACGATAATGGATGTTAACAGTTTAAGCACTAGCCAGGATCTCCAGGGTCACATGTTAAAGCTTTGGCTCTACCATTTAACTTAGCACGGCTCTTGGCAATGGTTCCCGCCATCCTGGGCCCTGCTGACTAGAATAGCTCCCTTATCAGAATGTCAAGGTAGGAGGAGTTAGATAAGCTGCTGCTGCCCAGGCAGGGCCTTCAGAGGCAGCCGCTTATGCCAGCCCTGGCTGGCAGAACGTCAGAAGGGGAAGCTGTCCACTCTGTTTTAAAACAATTCCAGAGAAAGCCACTCCACAAGTCTTTTTGAAAGATACACTCAGGTATTCTTATTCAAATAGCTCACTACATTCCTCTGAACTGGAACTCCCATTCTTCTTGTTTTTTCTTTAGAAAAAAAAAAACCAGAAAGATTTCTCCATGTCTGACAACTATCTTAACAGTTATCTGATGACGGATCCGCTCTTGGAACACACTGCCAGCCCTCAGTGACCTGTCTATAGCTCACACACAGTGAACATTTTCATCCAAAAATAGCCCCTTTGAGCTACCTATGGAGTCCCTGACCCCTGCCTTCTCTCCACCATCCTTCCACCTCCAGCCTAAATGGTCAATCAGTATTGGCTCAGAAAATGCAAGTTTGCTAATATTCTCCTAAACAAAAAGCATAACCCTGCCCCAACGATCACATTCCAAGGTTTTCAAAAATTAATGATTTCTGGCACATGATAGGTGATCAAACGAACGGTGGTTGAACCAGAAAAACAAAAACAACACTGCAGAAGTGGATGCAGTTTTCAAGTACGTGAAAGCACAGCACACACGTTTGTGGCTTCGCCCACAGCAGGCAGGAAGAAGCAGGTGATTTGAAGGGCAAATGGGAACCAGAGACTGGGCATTCTAGTCGTTTCTTCCCTCCGTGGGGGTTTACTTCATCACAGATGACTAGAGCAGGCTTCAGAGTCTCCCAGATTCCTGGACAAGAAACCCAGTCTGGTGCTTGCAGAAAGCGCCAAAGGGATCTAGCTTGGCACCAGGGACAGCGGGGCTGAGGAATGCTGTGACAGAGCCCCACACATGTGTCTGCTGGAGCCACAGACAACGAGCCCTGCACTGCTCAGGACATGCCAGCTGACTCCGGAGAAGCCGTGGTGGGGAATCCCACTAAGAGCTAACTTCATCCCAGAGAAGACAGCTAAGCTTGGGGGACAGCCCCGGGCAGAGTGAATGTGGCCCAGGTTCTCTTTGACCCCCTCACCCTTGGCTCCTCCTCTAGCTGGACTGCTCCCTGGATGGAGCACGTTCATTTTCTGCTGAATGCAGGCAGACTACTTCAATCCAAATGCTGCGTGTGAGTAATGCCAGTGGTTTCTAGCAGCTTTTGGAGAGGCCAGAAAACAGCTACCCCTGAGTGGCTGGTTCCCTTTCTGTTGGAGAGCTGGGTCTAGAACATTGTTCTGGGGACAATCCTTGTGCTTTGTGGAATGTATAGGCAAATTCTCCATCCTTTCTTTCTCTTTTTCTTTTTGAGATGGGGTCTTGCTATGTTGCCCCAGTTGGTCTTGAACTCTTGGGCTCAAGTAATCCTCTCACCTCAGCCTCCTGAGCCAGCAAGTTCTCTATGTGCTGTTTCCTCTCTTTCAATGGTGGCCCTGCTGCTGCTCTTCCAAGAAACACATACCCTGTTCCCTGGGCCTCCCATTAAAGGCCTCATGCCTCTAGGCAGAATGGTGCCATCTCAGGTGGGCTCCATAGTTTAAAATGCCAGCCAAGCGGACCAAGCTCTTTATGCCAGAGTCCAACCATGGGCCTCTAACTCCCACATCATTCGCTCTGCCCTGTTCATTCCTCAGATTCCAGGAAGCCTGAGGGCCTCATTCAGCCAGATGATGCGATTTACACCTGGCTTTGAGGAAAAGCAGGGACATGGGAAGACCAGAGCAGCTTTCACAATTAGCTTTTGTTAGTGGAAAGACCCTGGATGTAAAGCCAGAGGACAAGAGTTTTGGAGATAACAGTGCTGCTGCCACTTAGTGCTCGGAATCCTGTTACCCTTACTCTCATCTGTAAAACAGAAGAAATAAGCTCTGCCCCACAGGACTGGTGTCAGGATGAACTCATGTAAACGTATCTAGCTCAGCACCTTGGTTTCATAAATATTAGACTTTTCCTCACATGGACAAGTGCTTTGGGAACCAGAAAGCCCGATAAAGCATGGCTTATGAAAACAAGGTATGTTTTCGAGTCATATCTAGGAGAGAATCTCCCTTTATGAGCTGTGCACCTGAGGCAAGTTGCACAGCCTCTCTGGGCTGCTATTTTTCACCTGGAGAATGAGGATGATAATCTCAGCTTATTAAAAGGATTGAAGCAGAGTAAAATGCTCGGAATGTTCCTGTTGATCTTCTGGTGTTTGAAAAGGCTCCTGGAACAGGTTCTGGGCTGGCCTTGCTCACCCTGATGTTCGGGGTAGGCCCTAGAACTTTGGGGGCTGGACCTGAGGACCTCCACAGCCCCCGGGGCAGGAGAGCCCTGCTTGAGGGAAGGCGCAGATAAAACCAGGGGCCAACAGCTCTGCAGGGAAAAGCACTGACTTAAAGAGAAGGGGAGCAATGACAAGGCCACCCTTCCCTGTTCCCTATCCTCCTGTCCTCACAGCCTTGACCCCTGGCCTTTCTGAACCCTTTGAAAGCTGTTTAAAAGGAGATAGGGAGGTACGCAGGAAGTGACTCGGGCAGCGAGAGGGGCAGAAATCACAAGGCCGTGTTTCCAATTTGGCCACACTTAAAAGAGAAAGCAAGATTAGGCTGGGGATCTAAGGCTGAGGGGTGCACCGCCCCCACCCTGGCCCTCCCTGCTCCCACTTGAAGGAAGAGTCCTACCAGGTGAATAATGTCCTCCCCACCCCACCCACTCCTGGCCACTGTTGCCTCTCAAACCACTGCTGGGAGATCTGGGGCACCCCCAGGTAGCCCTGGTCTAGTGCCAGAAGTTAAGGTGTTTATGGCTGGGCTCCCAACGCCCAGGGCAGCCTGCAGCCACGGAGATCTCCAATTTCCTGGCTAAACTTGGGACTTGCCCTAAGCTTTTCCTTATCCCTCCTGGCTACCAATCTAGCAGGTTCCCTGTGAAAGCCTGCTGCCCAGCGATGGACACCTGAGGGTGTCGTCCTGCCCTCCAGAACCCGCGAGCTAGGGGAGAAATGGAGGAGGAAAAGAAGACAACTTACTTGTTGAGATCAGAGCTTCGGAGTCCCACTGATGCTAACTTCTGGGGTGTCCCTTAGCGGCAGTGCAGGGGTGCTCAGGGCTTTTGAGGGGACTCCCCAGCCCCTGCCATGACCCCACGGAGGAGCTGTAGCTGGAACCTCTCCCTGTCGTGGGGTCCTGTGGGCAGAGGTACTTAAGCCATCCTGTCCCTTCACTCGCGGTCCCTTGGGTCACTCCCTTTCTCTAGCGAGAGCAGCTGCTGGAGGCAATCTCTCTCTCTCTCTCTCTCTCCTCTCTCTCTCTCTCTCTCTCTGTGTGTGTGTGTGTGTGTCCCCTCCTCCCTCTCCTCTCTCCCTCTGTCCCTGGTACAGATGAATCTCTGGGTAGTAACGCGACTGCAAGGGCCACCGGCATTGGCGGCGGGGGACGGGCTGGGGTGGGGCGGGGGCTCCATGTGATCGGGGACGCCGTCAGCCTGGTAGGACTGGGAGGGAAGAGGAAGGCGGAGAGAGAGCCCGGCAGGCATCCAGCCCTCGCGTCCCCGCGGACCCCTGCGCCCTCCCCCGGCTCCCCCTGCACCCGGCTGCACCCCTGCTGCAGGGTGCCGGGGACGGAGACCTCCGCGCGCGCGCGTGAGCGCCCCATGCCTGTGTGTGAGCGCCGCGTGTGCACGCGTGTCCATGTGTGAGCCCCGTATTTAGTGGGTGCGGTGGAGCAGACAGAAAGAAGGGAGAAACTATTAGGGCAGAAATCTTGGCTCGGAGCCTCGGCGGGGCTGCTCAGTGGCTCTGCGGTGCGCTAAGCTGGCGGTTGGCAGCATTTCGCTGTTTCCCGAGAGGGATGGAGCAGATGGGGGAATTCCTTTGGGAAGGCGGGGGAGCCACAGTCTGGGCACTACATCCCCCGCGCGACGGCTCTGGCTCCCGCAGTGGAGTGAGGGTCTGGGGGCCTGATCCGCCAGCTGCAGGTGGAGTAGGTCCAGGGACAGAACCCAGGCCAGCTGTCCCCGGGCTCGCTGCTCATCCCGGAAGATCTCTCCCTGGCGTGCGGAGGTGGCTGGAAACGCGCCCTGCACGGACAGGAGGCCGGAGCGGCCCGGAGGGAACGGAGCTCAACCTTGCCCAGGCGTGGGCAGAGTCGGCGTCCTCCGCGCCACCTCGGCTCTCGCTTGTGGATCCCTCCCTGCCTTGAGGACAGATGATGACCAGAGTGTATTCTTCAATTCGTGGAAGCCGTAGGAAAGGCAGCTGCCAGGGCAGGCTAAAAGGGAGGGCTGCTGTCTGGGGAGGGCCGGCAGGTGCCTCTGAGGACAGGTCTGTTCAGGGTGGCCCTTCTCACCCTGTAATGTTCCTTCTGACCCTCTCTGTTACCCAGCCTTTTGGGGTCAACACCCCCATGCCAGCCCCCTCTCTCAGGGGCAGACACAGCTTGGTCAAACGTGGGATGTCCCCAGCACCTAGCACAAGTGCTAAGTGAATGATGTCTACGACCAGAAAACTGGTTTATTACATTGCAATAAGAAAAATGCGTGTCACTAATACTGGAGGGCACCAAGTCCATCCTCTCCTGTAAGCACATTGACAGGGAAACTTAGTCTCTAATAGTGGCCTGGGGGTCCTCTTGCCTTGGAGACCAGTGTGCACACAGCCCATTGCCCAGGCACCCTCCCCTGGGACACAACACAGAGCTGTCCAGCCAGAGTGGGCCTCCTGGATGCCCCTCTTCTCTCTGTAGAGGGGGTGATAACTAAATGTGGCTGCAACAGGCCCTGACTAACAGGAAAGCTCTGTGTCCACTTAGGGGATTCAGCTTGCCTAGGTGCTCACGCACTGCACCGTACATTGCTTGATCTCAGGGCTTAACACTATTGAGGAGAAAGTTCTTAATTCCCTAATTGCCTAGTTCTTGGGAGAGGCTTTGGCTGTGCAGTTCTCAGGTCCAGATAACACACACTATAATCTTCTGCTGAGCCCTGAGGAGGCCTCTGTCCTGGGGCAGCAGTTGCTTTTGGATCAGGTATAAAGACCATGATAGTCCTTCTGCCATTATGGGGTGGGGGTAGGGGGAGCTGGACTGACTTTAAAGCAAAATATAGGGTACTCTGGGAAATACTGCTTTGCAAAGATTCTCTCAGGGATGGGACCTTGGATCAGGAGATAGAAAAATTTGTGTCCAGGTCTCACCTGAGAACTGAAAAATGAGAAATTTGGGGATTCTAGTCCTGACTGATTGTTGCAAACTTAGGGGAGCTTTAGCTTCTCCATGCCCAAGCCTCTCAAAGAGCACGGACAACATTTGAGGATAGAAATGCAATAAAAGAACTACTCAGGGAGCCGTGCAAGGTGCTAAGTGTGTCTTTCATTGTCTGAAAATTGATGAGGCGGCGCTTGAAAGCAACAGAAAATGTGTATGTATTATCGCTGTTAATTAGAGTACAGCCCCACCTCTTCTGTTCCCTTTATCTGCTTCTCTTACCTTCTTTCATCGAGCGGGAGATGGGTTCACAATGAAAGATGTTCTCTTTAGAATATGAGACTTGCAGAAAATTATTTTTTCTCCTATTTATAGAAATTCTATTTGCATTTATGAGGCTGGTAATGTCTCATAAATATTTCCTGTTAGATAAAATATTAATTAAAGGAGTTTGTTGAGTTATACTCTGAAATCCCAACTAAATAGCTTCTAAAACAAATATTTTAAGCATTTTCTCTCATGTCAGAAGAATTCTTCATACATTCTTCGTGTACGTTAATAAGCTCATCTGTAAACAGCAGATATCAATCAAGTAAGGACATAATATTTTGCATATTTTTTTATAAGTAAGGATGTATTATTTTGCATATTTTAAAAACTGGGTGGCAGTATTATGTTAAATAAGGTATCTTATTTACTTACAGATATTTATCAAGTAAGGACATATCATTTTGCATATTTTTAAACTGGGTGGCAGTATTATGTTAAATATGTTTATTTATTAGTTAAATAACTAAATAAATGAACTAAATAAATAAACGTATTTAACATAATACTGCCACCCAGTTTTAAAAAACAAAACCAGGCATGGCCAACACTGCCAGATCCACATGGGATCACCTCCTCTTCCCTCAGGAGAGGACCAGCCACCTGAGTTTGGTGTTTCTCTTTCCCATAGCTTTTAAAATGCTAAATGGACACACACACACACACACACACACACACACACACACCCCTACACCTACACCTGCACATCCTCAGTTAGTGAATATTAACTGTATGTAAGTATTTTTATGTCCACAAACTCTTGGTTGATAAAGGCCTACTATGTTTGAGACACTTTGATAGGTGCTATGAGAGAGAATAAAAGGTGTAATGGTGGCTTTGATCTCAAATGTCTCACATCTAATGGGGAAGGTGGCATATCTGTGAGTAGGGAGGAGTTAGCCTACAAATTAACGTGGGATTTTAATTCCTAGGTGTTAATTGGGAGCTGGTGTGGAATTGACAGGAATGCTAACACAGCTCGGAGAAGAGAAGCTAGGACTGACTTCTGACCAAAAGGCTACCCAGAGAAGGAAAGCCTGAAGGAATTAGGAAAGGAAGACTAAGGTTTGAATGTGATGAGAGGGAGAGGAGTCACGGAGCTGGGCTGGGAATCAGGGCTTGAGAAGGGAAGGCTCAGGGTGCTCAGGGACCACAGGAAAGGGAAGGGTTGCTGCTGGGGGATCAGAGCAGTAAAGTGGTGATGCCAGTGGCTGTAATTAACGCAGTGCCTACTAGGTGCTGAGCCCTGCTCAGTGCTTCATGTAAGTAATTGCTTGTAATTTTCTTGACAGCCTCGGGAGGGAGGTAGCTTTAGCACCTTTCTCAGGGGAGGAAACAGGCTCAGACAAGTCAAGTCCCCTCGCACTGGCAGGAATTTCAGAGCTGCTCTCAGAACCCAGTTTTGTTAGTTTCCAAGATCATGTTTCTAATTGTTATGAGATGAGCTTTGTCTCTCCCGAATTCAGATGGTGAAGGCCTGATTCCGAGTGCTTCTGAATGTGACTGTATTTGGAGACAGGGCCTTTAAAGGGGTGATTAAATTAAACTAAGGGGACTGGTGAGGTGGCTCACGCCTGTAATCTCATACTTTGGGAGGCCAAGGCAGGTGGATCACCTGAGATCAGGAGTTTGAGATCAGCCTGGCCAACATGGGGAAACCCCGTCTCTACTAAAAATACAAAAATTAGCCGGGTGTGGTGGTGCGTACTTGTAGTCCCAGCTACTCAGGAGTCTGAGGAAGGAGAATCTCTTGAACCTGGGAGGTGGAGGTTGCAGTGAGCCGAGATCGTGCCACTGCACTCCAGCCTGGGCAACAGAGTGAGAGTCCATCTCAAATTAAAAAAAATTTAAAAAAAGAATTAATTAAACTGAGACCATTAGGGTGAGTCCTAATCCAATCTGACTGGTGTCCTTATAAGAAGAGGAATGACCTTGAGGACACTAGGAGAAGGCAGCTGTCTCCAAGCGAAGCAGATAGGCCTCAGGAGAAATCAACTTTGTTGACAACCTTGACCTTGGACTCCTAATTTCCAGGGCTGTGGGAAATCAATTTCTGTTTGAGCCACCCAGTCGGTGGTGTTTTGTCATGGCAGCCCTAACAAACGAAGACGCTAACCCCGCATCTCTGCCTCTCAGAAGGGCCTCGTACCCCAGGCTGTGGCATCTGGATTTTCTTCTGCATATTGAAAGCAAGTATTAAACATTTCTGAGTTAGGGAGAATGATGAAAATCAGTGTGAAGATTTCCCTGGGGGTGGTCTGTGTATGATTCATTCATTTTTTCATTTCAGTGAAGACTTATGGAGCACCTGTTTTGTGACCTCTGCAATTACAGGGACCACGTTTGTCTTGTTCACCTTGGGGTGCCACCTACTCCCAGTGCTAAGCACCGCATCTGCTACATAGGAGATGATCAATAAATATTTGCCAAATGAAAGAAAGGATATGGGCTAGGTTCTGCAATTAGAGAAAGATGACAAGACAAATACAGAACTTGCCTTCAAGGAGCTGACAGTGTGGTGAGACTGGTAGTCAGTTTGTGGTTAGTTTAGGTGGAGCTGAGATTATTGTGCAGTGCCAGCCAACGGAAGTTTTGCAATGAAGAAAATGCTTGATATCTTTTCTGTATAATGTGGCATTGTGGCCATTGTGTATGTGAAATGTGGCTACTGTAAATAGAAAGGGAATTTTAAGTTTTAATTAATTTGCATTTAAGTAGGCACTATGGCTGGTGGCTACTGTACTGCACAGTCTAGGATTAGAGGCAGGGAGAGTGTTCGTGGGCTGGGCCCTGGCGCTGGCCTGAGGTGATAAGGCTGCAACAAGGCAAAAGAAGGAAGAACCTTGGGATGTGTAGTGGGTTGCACAGTCTGGCGGC